ATCATCATCACACTCATAACCCATCAATTTCCTGTTATCATCACATGACTTGTTTTTTGGTATTAATGATTTGGTAAGGAAATCATTAGAAATCTCGAGAGATCTTTTCCAATTTCCCCAACTTGCAAAGAAAAATAAAGCATTCAAAGCTGCTTTGATAGATAACATCAAGAATGTACAAACATATACAAATGTGCTAAATACAATTTTTATGGAAGACTTCAAATCAAACTATATCAACTTCACCACCCAACACACCAGTCCTACAATAACTCAAGACTGGTTTTTTCCCCTTCAGAAATGGAGGTGGGAAGAAACAGTTGGCTTGTCTTCTCTAGCTTTTACTATTTTTTAGCCGAATGCATTTCAGTGCTTTCGTCATGACCTCTCATGCCAAAAGGACTATTCATTTGGAGAAAAACTACCTAGAAGAGTGACATTAGATTACGTATGTACCGATCACTTATCTTAGATGAGTATTGTAGGTGTCGAAGAGGGAGTCTGGAACAATCAAAGGCAGTTTGTCTATGTACTTGAAAAGCCTTTGCAGATTCTCTCGAGTTACTGTCGCCATGTCCACGATGTCCCTGTTATCAACAAATACCCAGAGATCGCCAGAATTTACTCTCTTAAGACTGTCACGACAGAATGGGCACGACTGGGAACGTGTTTGCCTGAAGTACATTCAATAGAACAATAAAACTATTAGAAGTTGATATAAGGTAGAAAGCAGAAAACAGATTCAATTCAAGAGGTAGTCCAGAAAGAGCTGACTGCTGAGTCTATAATTCATCAGAAGAAGCATTAATTGGAAGAGATATGCCAAATGATACTCCACATGCAAGACAATCAAATTGGAGATATGCCAAATCGGATGAGGGTATCAAACAATTAATTGTCTTGATCTTAATGCGCTTAAAATGAAGTATCATGAGGCATCTATCCAATCAACTAAAGATGAACAGAAGGCTTAATGTGTACAGGAAAATTTTGTTAAGAGACTCTGTAGATAGCCTTAAGAACCCATAATTAATCCCACCTAGTGAAATAAGTTAAAGAGAAAACTGAAAATGAAGAACAAAAGAGATGGAGAGTACCATTCACGGTAACATTTCAAGCACAAGGCATGGTTGCAGTTGGGCAATACAACCTTGCTAGTAGTCTCCATGCATATTCCACATTCTTCTTCTCGTTCAATGTCAATATCTGAAGACCATTTAAGTTCGTCGTCATCTCTTCTTCGATACCTTTCCATGCAGACAGCCTTCTGCTTTTTATCTTCGGTATCGGTAACACCTCTCTGAAGTTGCAATAGAGACGGGTAAATAACAGCTGATCATAGCACAGTTAAAGAAGTCAGCAGTCACAATATACATATATATCAAACAATCATCTGATGAACAAAATGCGAAACTCAGACACTACCATAGAATTCCCTGATGCTTGCTTTTCTCTCGTTGGTGGACATGGTGGTCGTACCATCCACATAGACCTGCAGCACAAGATACGTGGTGAATTCAGCAACGTTAACACAATAAAATGGATTTAGGGATGATTACGAAATATAATGCTATGAGGTGACAAACTTAACCTTGTAAATTAAAATTCTCAGCAGTCCAAGGGCACCTGCAAGATGGCAGTCTGTCCATTGCACTAGGAAGAGGAACAAGTGAGCAGCAGGACTGTATGATATTCTCATCTGAAGACAGGGACCATCATATTCCCCGGGAAACTCCGATGCCCTACAACTCAGGAATAGTTAAACATTAAGTTGAGATATCTGACAAAACCAGCAATCTTGATAATCTCCAAGCATTGCAAGAAATCACAAGCATTCAAACATTTCAGCTTTTAGTTGATCTGTCAATTTTCATAGCCTGGGCACAGAGCATGATTCATAATATAAAAACTATTGACATATTGGATATTTTCATCTTTCCTAGACAAGATCGTACTTCTCACAACTTAAAATTAAAAAAGAACAGAAAAAGTAAGAAATTGTTGTTGCTAAGTAATTCTTTATTTAATTTTAAAGGAAGTATGCCTTTTTCATTCATTATTAGGAAATAGGAAGGAGGAGTTATCACACGGCAAAATGTAAATGCAGCTTCTGGAATAAGTGAAAAAATGTTACAGAAAAGCACTTGCGTCTCGAGAGATAGAAACGATATTAAATGGGTTATAAACTAGTCTCTCAAAGAAACTACTATACAATTCAAGTTTTGTTTTACATAAGGGATCACTACAACTAGGTGACATTCCTTAAATTATACAAAACAGAGCAAAGGGTTTTGGGCAATGAAGGCAAGATTTAAAAACAAAAGCACGAAAAAGAATGAAAAAGCAGAAGAATCGGTAGAAGACAATAGCAAACTTGTAAAAATAGAATGAGAAGGCACGATATAGATACTGCAAAAACAGGCATTCCACAAAGAGAACCAAAACAATGATACATTCGACTAGTAAGTGACAGACACACAAAGAATCGGCTTCCCGAGTTCAAGAATATGTCGATCATTATTCATAATCTGTACAACAAGACCACGGTGAGATGCAGAGAGCATAGAGAAGGTCCTAAAACACATCACCAATAAACCCAACAACAATTCATGAAAATAATGACAAAAAACTCAATGTGGGGAACCATTGACAAATCATCTAACGACAAATGAGCAAACTATTTACCCTTCAAGAAATTGAGCCATAAAACAGAGAGAAACGAAACTTGTCTTTACCAAGATATAAACCATCGTTGACAAATACAATTACTCAAAAACAGCAACTTCAAGATCCACAGTACTAAAAATCAAAATCCAGAAATTACATTTCAAGCAAAATTGAGGGGGCGAAGCCAGAACTCCAAAAGTGATCAGGCAAAAAACTACAATAGACGACAGTCAAATACGAAATTGTAAGAACAGAGAAACCCCAAAAAAGGTAAAAATCAAAGCTCACTTACAGAGTATTAGCATGCTGAATATCAGCTTCAAGCACTTTGAGGGAGTCCTTGAACGACTTTCTCATGGAAGATACATACATATCCACCCAAAGGGTAAAAATCAAGCAAAACGCAACCAATTCCTTCAAATTTCCCCTCCAAAAAGCAATAAAAAAAAACCCTAATCCGTTCACGAAGAAATTAAAATAAATAAAAAAAAAAAAAAAAAAAAATCTCAATTTCTCTCTCTGGGAGTGGGTAGGCAGCGTGCGAGTCCCGTCTTCTCTCCTTTTTTCTCTAGGAGAGTGTGTGTTTTAGACCTTCGTGTTGCTTCGGTGCAGTGCCTCTTGAAGGCGAAGCAGATAGTGGGGGGACACGTGGCAGATATACGGCTCGTCGCAAGCGTCGGAGGAAATAAAATATTTGAAATATTAATTAGACAATCGCAATAAATTTATTTAAAAAGGAAAAAAAAAGGAAAAGATCAGCAAAACGCCGCGTTTTATTTGAAACGGCCTTATCCATTTCTGCCGGCCCTTTGCCCCCCTCTATAATTACCATTCTACCCCTTCGTTCTCATTTTCATTTTTTCATTTATTAAAAATACTTTTCTTTTTCAAAAATCTAAAAAATAAAAGCAATTATTATTTTTAAAATGACAAATAAAAATAGACTAGTGCTGAAATATTTTATTAAAAAAATAAAGAACCGAAAGGGTCAATGGCTAATTTTTAATTCAAAAGAAAAAAGTTATTTTGAGTGTATATTTAAATATCCTCTTTTTTTTAAAGAGATGAATTTAGGTGATGTGACATGACACATCAGAAATCATTTTCTTAAAAAAATGTTTGAACTTTATGTTTGGTGTAGTGGTTGTGTGGTCTATTTTGTTTCTTGTAAGATCCTAAATTATAATTTTGGCTCTATTATTATTATTATTATCTGGGAAATTTTTATTTTAGTTCAACAATTACTGACCAGAAAATAATTAATTCCGTCTTCAATGCCCCGCTCCCAATACTCTCTTTCACTCTTTTATGTTTCACCGATAAAGGCCAAAATGTCCAGACTTTGCTCGGTCGGAGATTATAGTGCGAATCATCTTATGAAATGATTGCAGCAACAATTTCGGTGGACAATATCATACTATTGTGTATGGTCGTGTTTTCTAATGCAACTCTATTTAGATTTATTGAACATTAATTTTGACAATGTTTAAGTAAGAGGAAGCATTAATGTCCTGTCCTGGGTATCTAAGTTCCAGTTTAGATAGCAGTAATAATTTTGTGCGAGTTTTGAGTCGTGGACATAAACTGTTCTAACAAAGATGAAAAAGAAAATCATAATAATAATTTTTTTTATAGTGTTTAATTTTTAATACTTTCACTTAAATTGAAATTTTAAAATAAGTTATTTTCATAATTGAGCAAATATATAATAATGACTCGAATATCTTCCTACTTTACCTTTACTTCTTACATATTTATTGTCATCTATTAAAGACAACATTATATACCACCTATATCAAGTGACCACCACCTACTATTAGCAACAAGCTCCTCCACCTCTGGCAACGACCACTGGTCGTTAACGACCACTAGCTACCTTTGGTGACTACAACCACATGATGCCAACTACACAATCGATGACCATCTCTAATGACCACCATCAACAATCACGACCTACCAACAACTACCTCTCGGTTGATTTCATGGTAGTCGGTCAATCTATTGTCTTAAATGCAAATTTGAACTTATTCGTTATCACTCGTGGAAACCTAACGTTATTATAAGAATTTTAAATGTGGACCACCATATTTGAAAAATGTAACGAAATATATAATTCTTTTAATAAAAAAAAAAAAAATTGAATGGTTTTCATAAAAGAAAAATGTTTAAAGGAACATATGTTTTTGAAAAATAATTAAATTAAAGGTAATCCAAACAGGCCCACAATCACCGAAGCCACTGCTTGAATGTTAGGCTGCCTTGCTTTTTCTCTTACTCCGTGATCTTACTCTAAAATCTAATAAATCTGCAAACCAAATCAATCCATTTCAATGTTTCAAACGATACCCAATCAATTAGCCCAAATTTCAGTTGCAGTAGACAAAGAAGTTTATCCAGTAGAGAAGCTACAAGACTTGCACTGGACTTGGGAAAGACATGAAGAAAGAGTCGGTCTGTGCTTGTTACGAATTAACATTATACTTCAAAATAAAGAGAGCAAGATAACATAACTGAGTTCAAAACACACCCCACACGAAGACGCAGTAATTATAGTTTAGGCTTAAGATAAAAGCAAGCTCTTGCTGAGGCCTTTTTAACACATTGATTTCAAACGCTCGCGGAAAACCTTCAACATCGACACAAACGTGATTATGCCAACCAATCTTCCATCGTCTTCGACCACCCACAAATACGGCACACGATGTGCAAGCGCTTGAATCATCACTGCCACCAATGAACTCCGGGGATTGCACGCAGCAGTCTCTGAGCTCCTCACTTGCCTGGCTGAAGGCTTTCCAAACTTTCCACTCCGTCCCAAGCTAGAACCGGAATCGTCATCTGATGAAGTTGAGTAAAATGAAGAACATGATGACATTGCCGAGTCTTCTTCCACCCACTCCAACAATGCCCCTAAGTTTCTTTCCTCCAGCCTGTCTTTGACCAGCTGCAACAAATCCTCCGGCGGGTCACCACAGTCCACATACGCCATTAATTCACCTGCTGAGAGTGTAACGATTGCAGCAGTTACGGTTTCATCGCAAGAATTCAATGTCAGGGGTGAGATTTCTCCAATCAACTTCCCATCTGAGTCGACTATTGCAATGGCGGATTGGTGGATGATGGCTTGTGAAAGGAGGGGCAGGGCAGAGAGAGCAGGATCGTCGTAGTGTATAGCGAGGATGTTGGCTGTGTCGATGGCGTTGAGGGAATTAATGGGGGTTATGGAGGTGGGGCTGAAAAGCCCAATAGAGTTTAGGAGGTAACGGATTATGTCCTCTTGGGTGAGCCAACAGTATTCAAGGTTATTGTGAAGCGTACAGTCGAAGGGAGCAACTTCCTTAAGCACCTTCTTTCTGGACTTCGCGAAGGTTCTAGTTTGAATTGGGACTACGAGATTTTGTGTACCTTCGAGGAGGAGATCTATAGCTTCCACCAAGCTGAAAATTATCGGAGAATGTTATCAATTTATACAGTAAAAGCAATATTTATCTTGGCTACCTGGGAGATTTGGAAAATGAAAAGATCTATGATATAAAATTCATAATAATCAGCCCTTAGTTCGAATTCTTTTATCACTGTTATGGATCGATTAAGGTTTGATCAAAGTAGACAATTTCAATTCTCTATTGAAGATTGATATAAAGGCAAGTTCAAAAGGAGATGCATAAGATTATGAACTACAAAGATGTGTAGAACGCAACAAAACAAAACAAAAAGATCACTAAATTTTCCAACACAGTTCGAGAAAACCGAAAGGAAAGCCCGACAATTAGAGTTACGAGACATGCAGAAACCAAGCCAACGAGAAACGACGGAAGAAATGAAAATTCTAGCTAAAGATAAAATTGGATCAAAATACAAATAGCTAAAGATACAAATTTCAATACACGGATGAATACGGTTTTGTAGTTACAAACGAGGCAAACATAATAAAGCTTCACTTTATCGTTCTGAGATTGATTTTCAAGATCGGATGTGAATTATTGAGATGCTATTAAAAACAGCCCAGCATTGAAAGAAAGTAAATGAAAATTGCACGTTTTTGAGAGCAGAGAGAATACAGCAATATTCAGTTCCAACTCTGGAGAAACCAAGAACGCCATAAAATTTCCTGGAGAAAGCCAAATTAGAATCTGACTAAAAAATCACAAAGTCCAGATGTAAAAAGAAAATTCAAAACGGAAGCACCATACATTCTAACCAATAAAGTCAAAGAAAACAAAATTACGCACCTAGCATGAGGTTGCAAATGCCTAACGATGACAGGAACCTCCGGAATGATAACCGAAATAGAGGAATGAAGCGCGACGGCAGGTTGCGAGAGATTCTCTTCTCTACAGAGGAATGAGACAACATCGACCACGGAAATCTTGCCGACACATCGACAATCGTCGCCGGAGCCGGATTTGGAGGAATGGCAGGCGCAGTTCCAGACACTGATGTAGTTTTCACCAAGCCTCTTGAGTGCAGAGAGGGCGTCGGCGAGTGTAGCCGAGACGGAGATGGACCTTAATGCAGGCTTTCCAAGGCATATATCAGAGACCTCATGAGCCAACAAACGCACTGCCATGCACAAAGAGGAGAAATGAACAGAGAGAGTGGAGAAGAAGCAGCGGTTGAAGAAGACGCTTCTAGAGAGAGAGAAAGAATGAGGGAGATATTGAGCCCGTGATTTTGTTTATTACTTAATTCCATTATTTATTGGAAGAGGACGTGCGCTTTTTCATTTTAAAAAATCAAAATTTTATTTCAAAAAAAAAAAAAAATAAATAAAATTTGAGGCTAAAATTGGATGATATTGTCCACACCTCTCCTCGAACACCACCTCCCCTTAATCGAGCAAGGAGGAGCTTGACTCCTTTTCTTTTAAGAGTTCTTCGTTCGATATTTGAAGATTTACCAATCTATTGGCACAACTAAGTTTAGGGCATGACTCTGATACCATGTTAGACGAACACGACTTTCCACAATGGTATGATATTGTCCACTTTGAGCATAAGCTCTCATGGCTTTGCTTTGTGCTTCCCCCAAAAAACCTCATAACAATGGAGTTAGTATTCCTCACTTATAACCCAATGATCATTCCCTAAATTTAGCCGATCTGTAACTTCCATCCTCCAACAGACATATATTGCCTCTTACAATTTGGTAACTTATAATTAAAATTGATACAATATAACTATACATATTTTTTAAAAATTTAATAATAATATTTATAAAAAAAAAAAAATATATTCAACGACCAAATGAAAGCAGTGTACGAAGGAAAATAATAATAAGGCTCATTGAACAGGTCTGGGTGAGCCATCTTTTCAAATAATTATGGCATTGGTACCTTAACGCACAAAAACCTAAATTAAAGATGAAATTGAGAAATAAAAAAATAAAAATAAAAATAAAAATGATGGGGGACATGAAAGCTTTAAGGACGTGGTGTTGGGTTTGAGGGTATCCACGTTCAGCCCCTCCCTCCATTCATCTTACCAGTTTCCTACGACTTTGTCAGTACAGGCAACCATCCTGTTCTTGCGCTCCACCAACCCAATTAATTTCTTCTCCATTTTACTCTTTAACATGGAGTTTCAAGTATCCAAATTTTACGCCTAATTGGGCCGGCCCGTTTGTATAGAATGTGCAATAAAAACGGCCCAACATAATTGGATTGGATTGTTTGTATAGAATTTGCAAAACTACCTAATTGGGCCGGCCCTTTAAACTTTTTAATGGAAAATATTAATACTTTATTCCAAAATATTAAACACTTTCAAAAACACCTTCAAACTTTTTACAAATAATTAAAAAAATACTTTTACTATTAGCACCACATTTCAAAATATACTTATGAACTTTTTAAGTAACATTAAAACGTTCATAGAGAATCTATGAGGTATTGATAGATGGTTTTCGTATATACATTGACAACAATTTATTTATTATTATTATTTTAAATATAGGATTTTAATGTTATATTTAAAATTTTACGTGTATTTTTTTAAACATAAATGTATTTTTTTATTTAATTTAAGAAATAAAAAATATTTTTTAAACACTATATTTATGAAAAAGAAAAATACTTACCACTTTCATCTCAAATCAAGATGACATATTTTCTTTAAAACTATATATTTTTTTTTGAATTTTTAGTTTAGGGGTATATTTTACTACGTATTTTTATTAATTTAACTAGTATATATTTATACAATAATAATGTAATTCTAAATAAAACTCTAAGCTAAATTTAAATATGAAAATTTAATGAAATTTTTTGGTATTAAATTAATGTGAGAGCGGCGATTCGGGATTTGGGGAAAACCTGGAAATATTGGGTCCCACCAAAGTAAAAGCTGAGTAGGATCCACATCAAGCTAAATTCTCCACGCAAACCAAAACCTCTCTCCATGTTCTTAATTTATGGGTGTGGATAATTCTGACACTTTTCCACGTCATCCACAATCATATTCATTTTTCACTTTTACTTTTTTTAAAAAATAAATCATTTGCTTACAAAATACTCTTAATTTTTATATACTCTTTAAATTAACAGTTTAATCATAAATTCAACCAAAGTATCAATTACGTAGTTTTATAAATCTTTAATAATTTTCTAAAATTTCATATTTTTAAGCAATATTTATAAACGACTGATAATGACTTATGTATATTAAAAAATATTTTAAACTTAATTTAAATACATAAAGTCTACTTTCTTAAAACTGGATAATAATTTTAAATCGAAAAAGAGTTGGAAGTCGTTGTGACCTGATTACGGTACTGGGCAATCCACGTGGATAAAACCCAGATTAATCCGAGTTTGGATAACGACGCCACGTCGGCATTATTATTCTTAACACCAAACACCCTTCTATAAATACTTCCCCCCAAGTCCCTCTTCTTCTCCATCAGTTCTCTACAAATCCCATTTCAACGAGTTTGTTCGTTTTCAGTAAAGCGAAGATCTGCGACTGAAGATGTTGGCCATTTTTGACGCCCAGTCGGTTCAGCCACCGCCGGAGCTCCACAGTCCGGCGTCCCATCGCCTTCCGACGGTGAAGCCTAAGCTTCCTCGGGAAATTCTTAACCATTTCATCACTTCTTCGTCTCGTTCTTGTGGAGCTCTCTCAATGTCTTTTGGAAATGCAGCGTTCCTCGCGTTTGATCCATCTGCTTCTCGATCTACTAACCATCAATCGTAATGGATACTGATCTAAGATTCTAAATCCATTTTTTGATATGTTAAATTACGAGATCTGAACTCTCTGTTTTCACCATTAAACTGAGTAATTGAATGTCAAAATGGCAGGTTATTTTGCGGGTTGGATGAAATGTACTGTATGTTCAAGGGGAGCTTGAACAACTTGAGCCGCTTGAACAAGCAGTACGGGCTATCAAAAGCTACAAACGAAGCCATGTTTGTGATTGAAGCTTATCGGACCCTACGAGACCGTGGCCCCTACCCTGCCGATCAGGTTCTTAAAGAACTCGAAGGCAACTTCGCCTTTGTGGTTTTTGACCGCAAGGCCGGCTCTGTATTTGCAGCTCTGGTGAGCCTTTTTTGTTCTCTGTTTAGGGAATTTGAATCGTGGGTTCTTTTTGTTTAGCCAGAAAATGAAATGGGTTTGTCAAATTTTGTTCGAAACAGGATGCAAATGAAGGGATCAATCTGTATTGGGGCACTGCTGCTGATGGCTCTCTCGTAATTTCGGATGACTTGGAGGTCATTAAAGCTAGTTGTGCCAAGTCATTTGCCCCATTTCCACCTGGTAATGTTTAGTTAACCTTTCAAGGATTAGTGCTAGGATTCCTAATAATTTTTCAACCCATTCTTGAGGAGTCGGAATCTGACGTGTATTTCAAAATATTGGCAGGATGTATGTTCCACAGTGAAAGAGGGTTAATGAGTTTTGAGCATCCAACGAAGAAGATGAAGGCAATGCCAAGAATTGACAGTGAGGGGGTGATGTGTGGGGCCAACTTTAAGGTTGATGCCCAATCAAGGGTTCACAGCATGCCACGTGTTGGAAGTGAAGCCAACTGGGCAACCTGGGGTTCACATGCCTGAATTCACAGTTCCAACTCGTTTTATTGTTTCTTTTTACTAATTTCTGGTTTTAAAATTCGTACTTTGTTTATGTTTCGGTCTGTGTACATATTTCGCTTCCGGAAGGTTTATTCAGAGTTCAGAGCTATGTGCAAGTTTCAATTAATGGAAAAGGAAAAGTTTATCACTTTACATAATGGGTTATTTATTTAATGTTTTTCTGGTTATTATAAGAATATTTGACTGATATAAGTTGTTACATTATCATAATTGTGGATAATAATAGAAAATCTTAGCATACAGATGTACAGCTCTGGAAAGATTCCTGAATTAATAACATATTCTAATCCAAATTAATGACAATTATAATATTAAACAATAATGTCTTCAATGGGATAACTACATGAATCAACAATAAAAGAGGATCAAAACTGATGAGCTGGATGAGGACTCGAAATTAAGTATAGCACAAACAGGAATCACGACAATCAGAAGGAAAATCCAAAGTTCTCGAACAAAACAAAAAACCCATGATCACAGATGCGAACCAGAACCTCGACTAAACTGAAGGAATTGAATATGGGGTAAAGTGAAGAAATAATTTCAAAGAAGATGTTTGAAGGGGGTGGCCATGTCAAAATCAGAACCTCGACTAGTCCAAAAGATAATGCCACTAGAGACCGTCATAAGGTACAGAAGAATAAATGTTGTATAAGATCACAGCTGATTACACATTCAAATGCAAGATAAACGGACGAAAACAAAGGAACCTCAGAGGGAAAAGGTAAAAAAGTATGAGCAGAATGAAGTTGATACTGGCTATGGCTATATCATTATTGTGGCAAATTATTCCTCAGCAGCTGCGGCAGCAGTTTCTTCTTGAGGTTTGTGTGAGGTGCCATTGGCTGTGGCAGCTCCAGGTGCAGGATCAGATGCTTTTGTTGCTGCATCTTTTTCATTTTTGGCATCTTTTCCATCCTTGGCATCCTTGGCATCCTTGGCATCTTTGGCATCCTTTGCAGGTGGGGGTGGAGGTGGTTTCATATGGGGAGGGGGTGTGTGCTTCAATTTCACGAGAATTTGTCGCATTCTTGAAAGATCGGTAGGTTTCCCCGGTTTTGGACCTTGAACAACTAAGATAGATGGTTTCTTATCTTGATCCTTCTTGCCTCTCTTTTTTTCAATATTAGGAACTTCATTGGGAATTAGTTCTGCAATGGCTTTCCAGTATTGTTTATCAGCCTCTTTATGAAACTTCTCCTGATTTGCAGAGTATAACTGCTCCAAAAACACAAAAATCTTTTACTTTTAAACCACAGCTAGAGAAGAATAAGAACATTGACTCAAGAAATGGCAAACTAAACTGTACCTTCTCTCTTTCTCTGTTGTTAACCTTGTTACTCTCAACATTAAGCTTTCTTTTCTCATAGAAACCTATTTTATACTCCTCAGCTTCTTCAATGATTTTGATTCTCAATTCTTTTTCCCTTTTCTCCTTCTCTTCAAGCTGAAGAGCATTTTGGCTGCACCAGCAAAACCCATAATTTCTAAAGTTCAAAAAATTGGAAACGCAAAAGATGTATACTAGGAATCCATCTTCAAAACTCAAATTGGCCATCAAATACAAATCTCACTTTTTGCGATCAAAAGGGAACGACAAGGACAGTCTGTGACACCCAATAAGGCAATTAAACGACAGAGAGAAAGATATTAAGAGTTCCAAAGAAATCAATCGAAGATATACTCAATGCAGTTTCTTATTTTAAGCATCACTCGGACTTTTTTTGTAATTCTTTCATCCTAAACAGGGAACAAATCCTAAATATTCCACAATATGGATCATGGCTAAACCAAATCATCCACAGTTATCTTACCAGAGACTTGCCTAAATTCCGCTTGAACTTCCACGTAGGTCAACAACAAATATAAACCTACTGATAATTCCTAATGTGACGTAAATGGCTATGCCCCAGACTGATCTACTAATATTCCGGTGGAAGAAATTCCACATAGATTAACAACAATATACACCCACTGATAATTAGTAATTTGACATAAATGGCCATATCCCTGACTGATCAACTAATGTTCCGCTGGAATTCCGCTTGAAACTTCCAGAGATTTATATAAATTCCGCTTGAACTTCCACTTAGACCAACCATATAGACCCCCTGAAGCAATTTGACTTACTGGCTTGTCCCTGGCTGATCTATTAGTATAAACCTCGATCAGGGCTCACTAAAGCGATAGATTCTTCATCTAACTGTACTAGTTGAGGTACAGAAGTCCCTAGATCTAAGTTCCTTAATTCAATACCTTTAATGCAAATCGATCAATATAATTTCCCACATCAAATCAGTCTATGTAGAACTAGGGAAATAGAATGAAGAAATAGTCCAGATCAAAGAGTATTATCAAGTAAAAAATACTAATAGGAGACAAAATTAGTAGAGATCTGAAGTTGTTCACCGAAGAATCAGATCTAAATCGACACTTAGATTCAAAGCACCAGCAACATAAGGAAAGAAAAAAAACTCTTCGGCTCCAAGAAATCTAAAAAAATTGAGAGTGTCAAGACCTTACCGACGCCATTCACGTAGAGCATATCCTTCCTCCACGCCCATCTCGGTCGGAGGCGGAAGAATTGGACCATCCGACACGAAAACACCATCGCCAACTTCATCCTCAACCACGCCATAGCCGTTTCCATTTCCGTTCTCTACATGAATCGGATCAAACGGAGCTTGAGAGTAGTTAGTACCCGGATCGTCGAATCCGAAGACGTCCGGCGAGGCAGCAGTGTGCTCGACGCTTACATCAGCGTCACCAGGGAAGCCACCGGAGAAATTGGTGTAGGATCCGTAACCGCCATAGGCATCTTCGCCGTCCATACTGTACGCGTCGAAGGAGGACATTTTTTTCGCTCGCCAACACCGCAGAGATGTCCTTATAAAAAAAAACACACACACACAAACGGAAATGACTCTCTTTGAAGCTATTTTGACCCTTTTATATATCGTTTACAGATTTTTAACGGATCATGAAATCAATAGACAATTTTATCCAAAATTTCAACTATTCTTCCATTTCTTATTGCCTTTAGGTTTAATAAAAAAAAAAAAAAAAAAAAAAAAAAAA